GAACTAATCACTACTGAGGAAGCACTTGAAATTGAAAGAGAAGAAGTAGTCAAATTTCAAGAAAAATCTGAAGAGTGAAGTAAAAAACAGAAACAAGAGTTATTGGATAAGATAAAGAGTTTAGAAGAAAAAATTAAGCAACTAGAAGAGGAAAACAAGACATTAAAAGATCAACAGAATGGTCAAATTGCTCAAATTGAAGTTAAAGAGACTAAAAGATGATCTTGATTGAAAATAAAAAAGTAATTGAGGAAATTTCTCTCTGTATAAATTGAAAATGGTATTTATTTTCCATTTAAAGATTTTTGCTTTTTATTAAGTAATAATGCATCATCATAATGCTTTCTTTTTCCAACATTTATTATTTTTCTTTCTTCTTGGTAAATTTCATAGGTAATCCTTTCTTTTCTTAGATAAGCTTCAAGTGTCAGAGTATTATTTATTTTAAAAACATATGGAGCAATTTTTTCACCTTGTTCTTTTTTTAGAATACTTCTAATGGTGCTATAATTCTTGGGTTCCATGGTAGATCTGATGTAAATTAATTTCATATAACTATTTTTATCTAGAGATAATCTTACAAATATTGTAATTTTGATGTATATTGATCCCTGAAATTTATGGTAATACCAATGTTCACTTTGTCTGGTTTTGTTGCAGCATGCCCCAATTATACAATCAACTTTACTTCCATTACCATGGTGGCTGTCATCTCGTAATGATTTGTTCTTGAGGAATGCCGAAGCCTTCAAAGTTGTTTCTCCCCTATTTGAAATGTCAAGTCAAAAGTGAACAATATAACAAAATAAAACAACAAAAAGAATGAGGTATGAACTTACCAATTAAGTTCTATGTGCTCATTATCTTTAAATAGTGATGTTAGCCGTTTAAAAATCCTTAGCCGGCTAAGCCGTTTACTACCTAAATTGGTAAATTTATTTCTATAACAAGAAAGTAACGCAGAAATCTATTACCAAATTTAGAAATTATGCATGCAGATTATTAGCCGGCTAACATCACTATCTTTAAACATTAATATAAAAACTCGAGAAATAAAATTGATTATATAATTGTTCTCTGTTTGATTTTTTGTAAGCTTGTTATGATTATTTTTAAATTGGTCTTTACTATAATAATTTCAAAAAGCTACATATCAGCAAAATTGGCCATGTGACATTTAAAGGAAATTCAAGAGTGAAAAGGCACTTACAAAATTTTTGAGAGCTTTATAATTTGATATTTCCATCACTCATATTTAGATGTACGTAATTTATTCTTTTCAATCTTGATAACGTTATCCAGCTGTTCCCATGTTATCTTTTTTTAAAACAATAGATATTAGAAATGAACTATAATTATTTGCAACCAAATAATCCTCTCACCACTTTTTTCATAAGTTCTTTTATATAAATCTTCACATCTTGTTTCTCATTGGGATCAATATTACTAGGTGTAAAAATGTCTTCCATAACATTAATCAAATCAGTCCACCTATCTTTAAAAACAGATTGTGGAGCAGTTGCTGATGATTCAATTTTATCTATAATGTGATAAAATAACAAACTAAAATAATGCATGCGAAATGTTAATTTAACCTAAACAATTTCCGAAGTAAGATAAATTTAAAGAACATATACTCCTGTTTATGTATTTCAGCAACATATTTTGTTGATTGACACCATCTATCAATTAAAGATCGCATGTCTTCTCCATCAACATACAAATTGTATTTTCTGGTCTTAAATGGAATCTTGGTTTTAGCTTCTGATTCTTGTTCCTTCTCATCGAATTTCACCTAATCATGAAACAGGAGGTCATTAATTATTTGCCATCTGAAAGTTATTCGAAAGTTATTTATGATTTCACCTTTTTTATCTGTACTATGTTCTCCCCATTGACACTTTATCCGGTATAGGCGAAATTAAGTTAGATACTCAGTCAGAAAGAAAAGAAAGAAAATCATGGAGTATCTTTAAATAGTAATAACTTACCCACTAATATCAGCAAGTATTCCATCATAATTAATGTTTTCTTTATTAACAAGAATGATGATAATCCATCATTCTTCTCAATAACTAGAGTAATGACAAGTGGCAGGCGATAACCACCACCACCATCCTTAAAATACTTACCTAGAAATTTCACCAAGAGCAGTTTGCCTGCTTCTTTTATTTTTCTTGTCATCAAATGACTTTTTTTTTTTAAAGAAGTTTGTTATTTGATCAATGCGTACACATTAATTATTTATCCTATTGACCATAATTGATTATTGTGAGCCCAGAGATCTGGGTAGACACAGTTTAATTTTTGCATGGCCTTGGTATTATTACTACCCAGGTGATGCAGTTGTTTTTTATGTCAATTATAACATCAAATATATTGAATAATCACTGTGATGAATGCAGAGACAAAGGAATTCACACATGAGGAAAGTATCAAATATCAATAACATGTTTGTTTATTTTATTTTTTATTTTAACCAAGACATATAATTAATTATATTGAAAAAATACAAGATAAAAAAATTGCCAGTTATTGCATGGAATCCAAGGCTGGAACAATCACACTATTACATGTTCCAAGATCAATCAAGCAATTATTTGAATCCATTGGTGCACTTTTGAAATCATATTAAAGGGGATAGGTTTGTATGCAATTTAAAATTTTTATGTTAATTTAGAGTTCTATCTTTCTTTGCTCTTGTAGGTTGCATTTTACAAATCAAATTATTTACCTTAATATAATAATCATTAATTTTTAAGTTTCAAAATTGATTATTTTAATCCCCCTACAATTGTTAGAGTTACTTTTCAACAAGATAAATTATTCCTTAAATGAAATTGTGTCCAAATCTGGATGCAATTTTTGTTTATTTAAGGGATAAGTATTTTTGAACAGGCACTTTAATTATTGTAAAAATACAAGTTACCTTTATTTCTTAGAGGATGATCCTCTTTATGTTAAAAATACATAATAATATATAATAATAAAAATATAAATAAACTATAATTAATATTATTGTTATAATCTATTCGGAAGATATAATAATAAATAATAATTGATTATCTCAATAAATTTTACATCTATAAATATAATCACTACATGTGATTTGTTACAGCAATAATAACAATGTGTGGAAAAATTCATTTGTGAAGGTAGTCAATTTTTTATTAACTTGTTATTATTTCATTTATTGTTTGCTTTTTAAGATGTCTTTTCTTATTTTGATTATTAATGATGATAACCCAATTTAAATCTAGGCCATAATTATTTTTCATGGGAAGTTGACCAAATTTTCCAATTTCTCTTCACAAGTTATTGAACAATCATATCTTTTAAATTGTTTACTTAAACCTATTCCATTGGTTCATCTAAGATTAATTCCATTCATATACTTCAATTTTAAAACAATTATAAAAAAACCTACAAAGTGAACATAAAATTATATATATAGGGATAAGTGTATATGAAAAGTAATAATAAAAGTAACAATTATAATGGTTCTAATGAATATCAAAAAGCAATTGATTTTTTAGAAAAAGGCTGTAAATGTGGTTGTTCTTCAAGAATTCCCAAAGAACAATTTGCAGAATTAAGAGAATCCTTTCAAGCTCTTACCAAATCAGAACAAGACATATTTTTAATGGCCCAGATTAAAGCAATGCATGGTGGGACAGTAAGTGCCAGTAGATGCCTTAAAAAGAAAAATAGATCTAACAAAAGAACTTTCTATCACTGAGATCATAATACACTCCTTTGTCAAGAAACTTATCTCAATAAGTTGGGAATTGGTAGAACTTACTTTGAAAACATTAGAAATCATCTGATAAACAATGGCCTTTTACCAAGAGTTCATGGTAATATTAAAAGAATGCCTCAATGGAAAACTAAAATGGTGATTGACAAAAGTGTTGCAGAGGTAGTAAAGAATTTTCTAGAAAATTATGCAGAAGTCCATGGATTACCAAGTCCAGTGTAACAATTTAACGCGATATAATTACTTTCGTGGATGTGTAACATTCAATTTAATATCGTGACACATCATTAATTTTATTTGTAACATTTATTATTCGCGTTGTTTTAATTACACTATTTATCTTATTACTATT